AACTCAACATTCAAGTTTTCAGGCCACGGGCTCCAAAGCTGCATATATTCACTTAATCACCATCTGGGGCTACATTTGCGCTGTAAGGAGGGGCTGGGGAGCCTGGCGTGGCATCGGTCAGACGGAGGGTGTGCCGTGTTTGTCTTCTGGAGGGGCAGGACATCACCCCAGCCTGGTGGTGAGTTCTGGGGCTGCAGGTGGCAGTGACCAGAGTGTCACCCACCCACTGGGTGGGTGGCTGCCCCGCTGACCTTTCAGATGGCCAGTGGGGACAGGTAGACACTGTCTATGCTCGCCAGGTGAGCGGTAAGATAAGAATCCCCCAAGGTTGTCGCAGAGAGGGGGGCCCACACAGACGTGTCTGCAGTGACGTGGCTGCCCCTCCACATGGACAAGAAATGCCCCCAGCAACTCCTCTCGGGGCTATCATGTCAACTTGGATCGCTGCGGAATCTGTAAATTCACCTCTGAGGGCCACCTAAGGCATGGCTCCTGCCATCGGTGGGGACCAATCAGCCAAGCTGAAAAAATGAAAATAAATCAATCAACAATTTTTAAAAAGTCTGTGACTCTGGGAAACTAATCTTTTACGGCACGACCTCTAGGAGACACAGTAAATGGGCTGTCAGAGGAGCCAGGAGACAGGGCCTGGGCAGGGACCGTGGTCTGGAGGGACAGCAGAGGGCCGGGACGCTGGCCTGGTGTGGACAGGGGTCTGGGGGTCTGCTGGGTGCATGGGAGACAGTGCCAGGCTCGATGTGACGGGAATGGCCTAAAGGGAGCTTTTGATTTGACGGTGAGCTGAGAAGCATCTCTTGGTGGAGGAAGCCTGTTAACCCCCGTTCCTGGCTGTGTTTTCTCTGATGACCCCAAGCCCTCCTTTCTAGCCCTGGGGATGAATCTGCCTGAAGGGTTTTCTGGATGAAGAGGGGAACTGCCACCACTCCAGGAATGCTAGCTGCCTACCTCCTATTTCTCTAAAGCATCAGAGACGGGCTCATCAGAGAGACGGGATCTACCTGCAGAATCACATGTGTGCGTGTGTGCATGTGTGTGTGTGCGTGTGCGTGTGCTTTCAGTTAAGGCCTGTTTCCTATAGGTCCCGGTCAGCGTCAGATGTCGGGCGGGCAGCTGGTGGCCCCAGGCCCTTCTGAGCTAGCGGGCTGCTCCTTGAGGTGCAGGGGGATCTCAGAGGTTCGGGTGGGGACAGAGAGGCCCATGGGTGCTACCAGGTATTAGTTCTGCGTAGAGATTCCAAAACGCACAATTACGCTATACACAGATGAGAAGGAAAGCATAAAACTGCTCGTTATAACACACAGTTCCCAGTGGGAAAAAGTCCTTACAAATACAGGGAGTCAAAGACAAGTTCCTCAGCGGGTATATTGCCATCTTCTCTCTCTTCTTTTTGTTCTGCTTTTCGTAGTATTATTATTGTTATTTTTACAAATTATGTGGTTATAGCCAGAAGCTCACAGTAAAAAGTAAAACTAGGCAGCTCGAAAAATCAGGTTAGGGAGTCACTAAAAAACACTAACTCTGTAAATCTCTACTTGAACCTGTCACTACTCTGCATCTTATTCTCAGAGACACTCTACTCATTGGCACGTCTGCCTGCCATGGTAGGATGGGGCAGGATTTTGTCGGGATGGCCCAGGTCCCAGGGGCTTTGAGGAGCCCTTGACACTGAGAGGGAATGAACTGCACACGTGTGCCTTTCAGATGGGCATTCACACCCACGCACACTGACCTCTCCCCTCAGCCACTCTGTCCCACGCCAACACCCCACACACTTGACAGGTGAGGCTCAGAGAGGTGAAGCGATTTGCCCAATGCCACCCAGCGGGGAAGGGGCAGCGAGTGCTGTGGGTCCCTGCACGCTGTCCCCTGCATCCCAGGCTGCCCTGTGTCCGTTTGCTTAGTCTGTGATGTCTGCTGAGCTTCACGATGAGGGGCCGCCTGCACACAACAGAGGGTTCTGATCCCCAGCCCAGCTGCAACAGTAAACCTCCACGGGGTCATCAGTCGCTCCTGGAAAGACCTCTGGTGGAGTCGGGAGGAATGCCTTGCAAGTTCTCAAGCCCAAGGATGCAGATCGGGGAACCCTAGCCCTTGCTGGTCTCTGTGACAGTGACCTCTGGCTCTAGTGTTCGGGGCAGAGAGGCAAGGCCACCAGCTCCTTCTTGGCAGGGGAAGCGTCTCCGTATGAACAGCCGCATGAGCAGCCCCAGAACCACAGGAAGCCAGAGATGCAAGCCCCCTAAAAGTGCCTGCAGAGCTGAAGTCAGCTCTGTGGACAGATGTTACGGGCATCCAAGTTTTTGTGGAAGTTCCGCCTTAAATGGGAAGGGCTTCTAGATCCCTTCCTTTTAGTGAAGACAGAGAAGGCACAGAACGTGCCTGGGTCACGCTGGTCTCAGTGCAGAGCTGATGTCAGAATCTGGGTCTGTGGCCACACCCCTCTCCCCAAGGCTCAGGTTTCCCTGATTCCTGAGGCCATGCACATGGGATGCAGGTGTTTGCTGATCCAGCTGGGTTGAATGGCTGCTGAGCACCCCTCCATGGCAACTGCTGCTCTGCATGGACAAGGCCCAGGGGCAGGTCCTGGCATGTCTCAGCGTCCAGGGTAAAGGAAGCCACGCCTATCCCTAATCAAGACCCCAAGCAAAGGTTCTCTGACATTGCCTCTGCCAAAGCTGTACACCTGGGCCCTGGCAGCACTGTCTGGAGAAGACGGGACTCAAGCCACAGGTCTGGGTTTTCCTTAGCTTGCCTGTGTGACCTTGGGCAAGCCACCTGACCCATCTGAGGCTCAGCATTGTAGTCCACGAAATGGGGAGAGTCCCTTCTTTATGGGCTTTGAGAGGATGAAAAGCCAGGCTGGATGGAAAACGCTTGAAACCCTGGAAACTTCTTTCTGCTTTATCAAAGGACGGGTGTTATGTTTTTCCAGGCTAAGGTGACTCACAGCGGACCACGGCATCAGGGCTCTCACCCACCTCTCTTTCCGCCCTTCCTCTGTGTCCCAGCCAACCTGGATCTCTTTTGGTACCTTGAAAGCATCGAGCTAGTTGCTGCCTCAGGGCTTTTGCACTAGCTGTTCCTTCTGCCTGGAATATCTTTAATGTCCATGGTTGGCTCTTGTTTATCATTCAGAGCTGGGCTTAGCCTGCTCAGAAAGCCCTTCCCAGACCACCCAAGCTCAACAGGACCCCCACAAACATTGTTTTGACCAAATTCTCGGCTTAGGGCTCACTGCTATTGCTACCTTCCTTATTCACTGCTTATTTCTTCCCTGTCCTCTCCCCCAGCTAGGACACCAGCACCATGAGCAGGGTCCTCCCTGCTCACTGCCACGTCTGATGGGCAGAGGGTCTGTGGAAGACACTGGGTCCTGCTGAGTGAGGGTATGCGAGCAGAGGAGCCGGGCCCACCCAGCTGGGCGCTGGGGGAGATTTTGGCTTCACTAACACCAGGGGAATGAGGGTGTCTACACTGCCACCTTGGCCCTCGGGGATTTATGTGATCATTTCCTAGGTCATGCCCTTCTGTGTGTGTGCCCCTGGGCTGGCTGGGTGGGTGGTGGCAGTGGTGAGCTCTGTGGACAGATGTTACAGGCATCCAAGTTATTGTGGAAGTCCCGCCTTAAATGGGAAGGGCTTCTAGAACCTTCCCCTCTGCATTTCCACAGTGCTCATCACTCTGTCCAGCAAAGATCTGTGTGTCTGTCTCTCCCACCAGATGCGGCTCCCCCAGGGCAGGGACGAGGCCAGCCTGACTCATCTCCCTTCCCGACCGCTGCCCAGCAGAGGGCTGGCAGAGAGTAGGTGCTTAACCAGAATGTGCCGTGTGTAGGAGGGTCCTGGGGCAGCGACGGTGGAGAGCTTGGGTGATGGCCCATCCACTGAGAAGCCCCTGGGGAGATGCTCCAGGGACTGTGTAGGGGGTACCGTGGGCTGGGGAGCTTGGACTTTGGGTTCTTATACCTCTGAGGTCAAACCGAGGACTGGTCTCCTCCTGGCTGTGAGACATGGGCCATTTCTGCAGGGAGTTCATCCCACCCACCTGCCAGGTGATGAGAGAGGGCGTACGTGAAGATAATCTAGTGCCTGCCCCGAGGATGGCCTGAGACGTGTCTCTCATTATCACTGTCATTATGGGAACAAATTCCATAAGAACGAAACCCCACCGGCATTTCGCATCCCCAGCACCCCCCTGAGACACAGTGGGGCTGTGCCCTGTGCTTGCCAACTCCATCTGGCTCACAGCTGCAGCAAGAATTTGGAGCCCGGACGCTGGGCCAGACCCCCAGCACAAGGTGACTCAGGCCCATCAGAGAACTTGGGGAGACCCCAATAAAACCAATCAAACAAACAAAAAGGATACCCCTGATCACACACATACGCACACGCACGCACACACACTCACATTCAATATTCTGACACAGAGAGGCCCACAGGCCACTACTGGAGGGAGCAGAGGCAAGGGAACCACGCACGGGTACGACACATGGCCTGAATCCTCCCAGCTTCACTTGGCTGGGGCAGCTGTGTCGGTCATCCTGAGTCCACCATGGCGCCACCTTTCAGAAGCCTCTGGCCCAAAATGGGACTATTGCTTGCGGACGGGTGGCTCAGAAGCACCCCCCCCCCCCCCCCCC